CCCCCCCCGCCGAGTGCCTCCACCCACGCATCATCCCCGCTGCAGGCCGCAGCATCCGTGCTCTGCTCCTCACTGGGGCTGCCCGCAAAACCCGGCCGGGCTCGTCACCGGAGCCGGACTGGGATTCTGGCTTAGAGGCTCTGTCAGTGGAGGAGCCCCCCTGAAATGGGGGGGGGGGGGGATCACCTGCCAAAAAGCTGCCGCTTGGGAGTTAGCGCTCGGGGTTGCTGGCGGAAACGAGCCGGTGGAGGTTCGCGGATGTGGAGCGCTCGTTTAAGCGCTCGTTTGCAAACACGTGACGGCAGGAGAGCACTGAGACTCGCGTGCACACACGCCCCCCCTCACCGGAGCGTACGAGGCGGCCTCCTGTGGCCAGACCACACTGAATAGATTTAAATAGTATTTGCATATCACAAAATGACACCAGTTTGCAGAGATTGGGGGCCTGCATGCTGCTGACGAGCCCATCTGCCTGGGCAACTGTGGCCCAGGGGCTGCCAGTGGGGCTTAAGCAAGGAAGAATGTGGGGGGGGGGGCTTGTAAATAGGGCTCTTTTGATGGATTGGTGGAGGGGGGGTGGCTGAAGAATTGCCGAAGCAGGAGGAGACTTTGGGGGAGGGTGCTGGGGATAAAGGGGAGATTAAACACGCTGGAACGCCGGCCGGGCCCTGGCCGCTCCCCTGGCTGTGTGCTCCTCTCCTCCCTTCCACTCATCTCCTCTCCCCTCCTCCTCTCCCCCCTCTCCCTTCCTGTCCTCTCCCCTCCCTTCCTCTTCCTTCCTCTCTTCTCCTTTTCCCTCCTCTCCTGTCCCCCTTTTCCTTCTTCTCCTGTCCCCTCCCTTCCTCTCCTCTCTTCTCCTCTCTCCTCCTCTCCCTTCGTCTGTTCTCTTCTCTTCCCTCCTCTCCTGTCCCCCTTTTCCTTCCTCCCCTCTCCCTTCCTCTCCTTTCCTCTGTTCTCTTCTCCCCTCCTCTCCCCCTGCTTTCTTCCTCTCCTGTCCTCTCCTCCTCCTTCCACCCCCTCCCCACCATACTCTGAGCTCCTCATGACAGTGATGGTGTAACACTGCATTGATAGCTGCTCTGGGGGAGGTGGCTTTGCTGGGTGTGTGACTAAAAATGAGTGTAATGATTATTTTAATCGATTATAATTTTTTTCCAATACAAGAAAGGCGTCTAACGAGTCAGCTGGCACTGTCCGTCCACCGCAGACTGTCCCTGCCTTGGTGGGGTGGGGGGGGAGTAGGGGGGGGGGGGTGTTCCCTTGGATGTCA